GCATCAAATATGTTCCAGTTTAAAAAAAGAAAATCGCCCAAAAGAACCTTCAAGTGATAACAAAATGATTTGTTTCATATATGAATCTTAGTGTTGACTTGGCTCAGCTAAGCAGCTCTCATTTAGAGTACCTTGCATGACTGCAATCCTACTGTGATCTGGGCCAGGGTCATGTCATAGGCTTCTTCTCTGTCATGCCTGGTTCCTGGTGGATGCTCAGGCATTCCTGTCATGTACCCCATGTCTCCATGTGTTTGCTTTGGGGAGGCTGGGCTGCTCACATAGGGGCCAAAACCTCCTAAGAGAAATGGAGAAGCCGTATGGGCTCTTCTGCCTTGGCCTTATGAGGAATGTGGCATCACTTATGCCTTAGTGATCAAGGCAGAGGCTCAAAAGAAGGGGAAACTGTCCAGGGAGGAGGGTGGGTCAGAAAATGTGCAGATGTGACTTAAAATCACCATACCAAGTGTCTGGCATGGCCAAGCTTCTGTCTTAGTGACAGATGTTTCAAACTCCTCTGATTCTGTCTCACAAAAGTTTTAAAAGATAATGGACAAATATCTGGCAAGAGAACCACAAGTTTAATGTGGAAGGAAAATCTACTTACAATAGTAACTTTTAAAAAAATATATATGTGTGTATGTGTGTTATTTTTCTTCTTCCAAAGGTATGCATGGGATATGAGGACTGGAGTAAAAGAGAATTAAAGTAGGTGCTTCCAGCCCATTTATTATACTATTATAACCTCCCACAAGTTACTTTACTTGCAAAATAAATTAATGAATTGTGAAAAGAACCCCAAATGTGTCATAAAAATCCCTGGAGTAGAGATAGAAAAAAATAGGTAAGAGACAAAAATAGAAAATCAGTTCCCATAAATTACAGATCATGACTTCTAACTATGCAGAGCGTCCTTGTGGGGAGGGATATAGAGCGAAGGGTGTGGCAGAGCAAAATGGTGAATGAAAGTGGCTCAGTGTAGACTGGGACCCAGCTGACCGGGTTCAAACCCCATCTTACCATTCCCCAGCTGTGTGCCCGTGGACAGGATATTCTGCCTCTCTGGATTCATTCCCCCATTTGCAACAGAGAGCTAATAAAGTACCTGCCTGTCAGATTACCATGAGAACTAACTGTGCCAGTACAGATTTAGCCCTTAGAGTAGCCTGTGACATATAAAGAGTGCATTATACCATGCTGGATATTTTCTTTTTACCAGTTGCCTTTGCCAGACTCAAATGCCATACTCATTTGGTGAGCAGCCACCAAATACACAGGAGGGAGAGGACGCCCTCTCTTCCTGGCTCCTGGGATCATGTATGCATTGGAATTCTGGGGATGGGGAGGCCTTCCTACAACATCTGGGCACCCATCAATCTGTGGGCTTCCACCCTACATCCTTGTCCCTATATTCTGATGTTTTAAAAGTTGGTTCACATTTTAAGTATGTCAAGCTAAATTTCAGTTTTAGTTTCTCATACATGTTTGGAGTTGGGGCCTCCATCGTTCATTATACAAATCTATGCAAATAATATGCAAGGAGGCAGTAGCTCCAGATTGTGGGGAGGGAAGTAGGTAGGCCAGCACAAAGGGCCTTGAATGAAAATTTGCATGTGTTAGGGGAGCCAGGGTTGAAGGCCTTGCACATTTACTGTGACAGTGTACATCCCATTCTGTTGTTAACCTTTTGTGCCAAGGAGGAGAGGTAAATTGTCTGATTTCCATAATGAAGGTAACAGTAAAGGTTGAAGGAGATGTCTGGGCAGTGCAACCTTGTAGCAATTTTATGATACAAATGATAAGTTGTTTTGAAATACTAGCTGCTGTATGGTCCAGGCTGTCTCCCCAGCCAGCTGTATGTTCTTAAGCAAGTCACTTCACTCCTCCCAGTCTCCCCTATGCAAGGAAGGGATTGGCTTAGATGAACTTGAGGGCCTCTCTCTGTGACATCCAGATGTTCTTCTGCTGGTAAAAACTATGGCACCTAGAATGGTAGTCCCATTCATTTTTTCAAAAATTATCTTCAAAGTCTCAAGAAGTGGCTGAAAGGTTAATTTCTTCCCAGAAAATAAATAAATAAATAACAAGGGATGCTGACAAGTGCAAACATAAACATCATCAGAGAGCTCAGGTAGGATGACTGACACTGTAAGTTCATGTACTTCAGCTGGTAGGAAAGTGGAGAGGAATTTAGTATTTTAAAGACCCTCTGCCTCTGAGTGTTGCGGAAGTTACACTGGAGGCCCAGGCGGCACCTCTGTCACCACAGACCTGTCTCTGAGAAGGGCTGGGATCTCTCCTAAACCTTTGTGCTGTCCTTGACTGCCGCCAAAGTCTGCTGCATCCTCCATCTCTGGGCACTCACTGTGTGGGATGCATCTGATGTTCCACCCCAGTGATCCTCTGGGGCCGTTGTTTTCACTCCAGCTGTTGGCAGCAGCCCATCTGGGCTGGAGCATAACCTGCAGCACTTCTCTGAGAGCCCCATGAGCGTAGGAGATGGGGGGGTGCCTTCAGGCAGATGGGGTCTGGCCGAGTGAGTTTAGATAGCCACCTCCCTCAGCTCCTGGCTGCCTTCCGATTGGTTCTTGTTTCACTCATCTCAGAGCCCACAGCTGCCCCTCAGATCATTTCCCAATATAAACTTCTTGCCCACAAGCCCTTGTCTCTCTTTTTTCTCACAGAATCTCTAATGAAATCTGTGTATTTATTTGCCACTGACAATTGTTTCCTCATAGTTCTGGAGGCCAGAAGTCCATGATCAAGGTGACGGCGGGGTTGGATGCCTGCTTGCTGATTTGTTCTTGTACAGTCGTATGCCCAAGTTCCCAGTGTCACTCTGTGTGTCCTAATCTCTTCTGAGAAGGATACCAGTCAGCCTGGATGGAGGCCCACCCTATTGCCTCATTTTACCTGAAGTACCTCTTTGAAGGTCATATTGTCAAGAATAGTCACGTTCTGAAATACTGGGGTTAGGGCTCCAACATAAAAATTTCAGCTCTTAACAACATTTATATTGAACCAATAAGCTTGTATGAGAATGTTCCTCAGGACATCAGAGTCTACTACCACCAGCCCTGAGATTGCCCCTGCAGTGCTAAACTGCAAGATGTTGGGGCAAAGGGGCTGGAATGACCCTGATCAAAACATAAAGCACATTGTTTCTTCTGTGGATACAATTTGCAGTCCTCTCCCTCCTCTTGCATTATTGCTGGCAGTTGACCAGGAATAGCATACATTTTGGAAACAGCCCTGGGTTCACATACTTCTGCTATGGTGTGACTGCACGAGTTACCTAACCTTCCCTAGTCCCCATTTCCTATCCTGCCAAATGGCTATTAGTATTAAATCAAACATGTTTCATTGACTTGAACAGGAAGAGTACACTGCTGGTGTTTGGTCTGGCTCATGGATGAAAGCTTAGGAAAAGTAGATTGATTAGGACAAATTGTTGGCCCCTGAGATGGTGAGCATTGCAGCATATGGCCAAGCGTAAGTCCCTTGGCTTCCCTACCATTTAGAAGTGCGGGTGAGGGACATGAGGTCGCTGCAAGATTCCACTGCATACCTAAAGGTGATGCTGGGCTTTGGGTCACAGCTGTATTAGTAGCAGATTTCTTCCCCCATCATGCTTCCTAGAAGCTCCCTGGGACCCTGGAAGTCACAGGCAAGGCCCTGCCTTCTGTCAGCAGCCTTGCTGGCCATCCCAGAATGTATATGGGTATCCCAGCCAAGGATCTGCTTTGGCTATTTGTCCTCCTCAGATCTGACGAGGGAGAAGAGCTCTGAGTGAGTTATTCTTGGGGATTCACTGGGGCCAAAGGAAAGAATGACAATGGCAGAAAGGGCGTGCATATGAACAAAGAGGAACAGCCAGTCAGAACCAGGCCCTAGAGAACTGACCAGCCACTCTTCAGCAGACCAGCTCTTCCAAACCCATGTGTTAGAATGGCCATTCTCCAAGCACATGATCTGAGTGAGTCCTGCATCTTGTGTTTGCATGAGGCACTTTTTAAATATTGGTACATGATGCTGTGACTAATAAAACTATACATATTTATAAATATTTTTAAATTTATAGGTTTTTATCCTTTTGCATTTTCTGAACTAAAGTACACACATTGACTGTCATGCAAACCCCCCCTTTTTAGTAATATTCAAAAGTACTCCTACTCAAAAAGAATGGGCATCACAAATGAGAGTTTTCCACATACTTCAGCCACATGGGTGTCATAGGAAAAGCAGTGAATAACAACAAACACTAAAATACCAGCGACATTTATAGAATGTATCTACTAGTCCAGACTCTATACTATGTGCTTTACGGGCACCAAATCTGGTTTCCCTTTTCTGCCCATGCTCCCTTCTGCCTGTCATTCTCCTATGACACCAAGACATCTCTGCCTTATTTTAGCATTGTTTATAGATCTGTGCACACTCATCCACAGCTGGAATCTGCCCTGTTAATTTCTGTGTCCTCCGGGGAAGAGGAGGTCAACTTCCTTTGAAAGTTTGGTGAGTGGATCTGAGTGAATGGAGATCAGACCTTCCATAACTTTCACTAGCTCAGAAAAGGGAACAGGAATTGGGCTAGCCTTCCTTATTTGGCTTCGAGTGGCTCACACTTCTCTATGGTTGAGCTGGCCTGCAACCTTGGTTACACAAGAGGAAGTAGGTATAAAAGCTATAGCCGGCCTGTACTCTGAGAAGTCCTGCCTTGATAGAGGGCTGCTAGAGGCATGTGGGGAAGGATATAACCAACCAGTCTGACTTCTCTGGTTTCTCTTCCTGACCAGTGTTCTAGCCCCAACCTACTAGACATGTCCTCACTCCATATAAGATTCTGCATCTTATAGAGTGCCAGGTGCCAGTGTGGGCCTTGGGAATGTGTCCGACACCCTCCTTGAGTTCCCAGAGCGTTCAAGGTCAAGGATAAGGGAGAACCCAGCTGTAAGCTGCTCTCTGGATATTTCACATCTCCTCTCTGTCTCCCCTTCCAGGCTTCCTCCTGACCGTGGCACTGTCCGAAGCACTGGTACTTGCTGTCCAGGAACCGGAATCTCTTCAGGTCCTCCCCTCAGGCAGTCCCCCAGACACCATGGTGACCACACCCCACAGCCGAACCTCACACTCCTCTGTGGTGACACTGGGCACTACTCCTGATGGACCCTCACAGGCCACAGCTACCATGGCAACAACAGTACCCCATCAAGACAGGCACCCCCCTGCAAACACCACTTCCACTGTTGTGGTGACAGCAACCATCCCCCATTCTGAAAGCCCCCTGCCCACTGGTTCCCCTCCAGTTGCCATGGCAACCATACCCTCCCCCTCAGAGAGCCCTCCACCAGGGGACACTGCCCCCACCATCCTGCTGACAAAGCCAACAGGAGCCACCAGCCGCCCCACTACAGCAGTCCCTCGGGCTACCACGCGCAGGCCCCCACGACTCCCAGGCTCTTCTCGAAAGGGGTCTGGGAGCTCATCACGCCCTGTCCCACCTGCACCTGGTGGCCACTCTGGGAGGAAGGAAGGCCAGCGGGGACGAAACCAGAGCTCCACACACCTGGGGCAGAAGCGCCCATTGGGGAAAATCTTTCAGATCTACAAAGGCAACTTCACAGGGTCTGTGGAGTCAGATCCCTCTGCTCTTTCCCCCAGGACCCCATACTTCTCTTTGCCACAGCCTCAGACTGTGGCTGCAACCACAGCACCCAGAAGTACCTCATGGGTGCCGCCCACCACCCTCCTGGTACCTGCAGAGGACAAGTCAGGACTTAGCACAGCAGACCGAGGGGGTGGTTCCATCTTCTCCAGCCCAGGAAAGGAGCTGAATGCCACTGCAGCTGCAGGTGCTCCTATCAGTTCACAAGCCACCCCAGTGCCTTCTCAGCACCCCCACGGTGACACACAGGACAGCCCCAGCCTCAGTGACTCTTGGCTTACTGTCACCCCTGGCACCAACAGACCTCCATCTGCCAGCTCTAGGGTCTTTACAGCTGTGATGGGGCCAAGCCAGGCTGCCTTCAATGCCAGTGTCTCAGCCCCCTCCCAGGGGATTCCTCAGGGAAAATCCACAACCCCACAGGCCCCAGACCATGCCCCTGCGGTCTCAGAGAGCACTGTTTCTCTAGCTGAGGAGGAGGCTGCAGCCTCCCCCTTCATGACCGACAGGGTGCCCAGCCCTCTCTCCACAGTGGTGTCCACAGCTACAGGAAACTTCCTCAACCGCCTGGTCCCTGCTGGGACCTGGAAGCCTGGAACAGCAGCGAACATCTCCCATGTGGCCGAAGGGGACAAGCCCCACCACAGAGCCACCATCTGCCTGAGCAAGATGGACATCGCCTGGGTGATCCTAGCCATCAGCGTGCCCATCTCCTCCTGCTGTGAGTGCCCTTCTCCTCATGCCCCTTCCTTCCTTCCTTCCTACCACGTCACATTGCTCCTTCCCCCATATTCTCTTGCCCGAGAATTGAGCAGCCCCCACCAAGGGGCTCCAAAAATTCACTGAGTTCTACAACACAATTTAACAAGAAAATTCTGGGTCGTCCCTGTCCCTGGTCCTAGTCTCAAATGTTCACAAGTCACGAAGCCCCAAACCCCAGGGGCTGGGGAGAACCTTATAGGTGGGCTAATCCAGCCCTACATTGTGCAGAAATAAATGTCAAGCTAGAGAAAAGATAGGTCAGAGTTAGAGAGGCAGAGCTGGGACGTGAGCTCAGTACCTGTCCTCCAGCCCAGTGCTTCTGTCACGATACCAGCCTGCCTCAAGCACTGCCTGCACTGCCTAGAGCGACACAGCACCAGGACACCACAGGTAGAAGTTAACACCTCCAGATTCACAGCCTCCAATTAGCTAGGTCCTCCCATCCTCTCCTACTTCTCCATGTTACTTCTGTGTCTTCTTTTCTCTCCTTCTCCGTGTATCCTCCTTCTTCCCCTAAGAAAGAGGATGCAAAGCTTTCATGTAGTGGGAAGTTTCACTGGCCTTGGCAAGAACAGTTCTTGCAGCTAAATTGAAGCTTAAGAGGTATGTGAACCTGAGCTACCTCCACTCCGCACACAACACCCAGCTCATTTTGTCTGTTCCTATGTGGTATGAAGCTGGATACACTGTATACCTTATCTTTATATTTTGCACTCCCAAGGCCACCAGCACCTCCTATTACTTGTCCCTCTGTGAATGAGGCCCAAAGAGGCGTTTTCCCTGATGTCCCCATCAAGAATTTCACATGACCTTTCCGAACCTTAGGGCTTCCTTTATGTCTTGCCACGGACCTAATCCTCCATTCTCGGAGTTTCTCTGGTAATCTTGGAGCCATCTTACTGTACTCAGCCCCACCACACCCCAGATGGTCACCATCCAGCTATTCCTTGAACCCTGCTAAGGATAGTATTCCCCCATACTCCTTACCCTGGGACAGCCCATTTCCTTAGATCCTGGAGCTTATCCAGCTCTTTGTCATTTCCTGCCAATGGTCCTAAGCTGCACCTTCTGAAACCACATAAAAGTAGTTCCTCTAACATCCCTGATGCACCAGAATGGCTCTCAAGGGCAGACAGTGTTCCTCCCCAAGCTGCCCTTCCATCTCTTTAGATCTCCTCCAAAGGTCTGCAATCCCCTGGTCTTTGCCTCCGTCTATTCCCTCCAAATGGCCACCACTTTATCCCTGGTGCCCAAAAGGGAGTCCTGTGTTCAGCACATGGCAGGCCATGGCAGAGGAAGCCAGAGTGGACCCTTTTGTCCCATTCAGACAGCCCGTGCTAGCAGCAGGCCTATTGATTGTATTGCTTCAAGTCGCACCATGGGCCCACCCTGATCTCAAGAGAAGCCCAAAGGCTTCCCACAAAGGAGGCTGTGAAGCCAGGATGCCCAGCCTTCCCTTGTGCCATGGGTTAGCTCAGGAGGCTTAGGCCTTCAATATGATTTCTGCTCAGCATCATACTCTAACCAGATCTTTTTTAAATCTAGAGTCTAGATTCTTTCCAGAAGCCATTTCTCCCAGCTTGCTAAGAAAATTAAGATTTCCATGCCAAGGCTTGGGCAGCCTGCTTCCACTTAAAGACTCAATTTAGGAAAAGCAAAACCATTTACAAGTTGTATGTCTCATCTTTAACGAAAGCAGCTTTACTCTCTTTCATGAAAACATTCTTTTAAACTGTGATTGCCTGAAGAAGAATGGTAAAGAGAAATGTAGCACTATAATGGTCATATTTGAGAAGGAACAACATGAAACATAGCTTTCTAGTCTTCTGTTCCTTACATGGGCCTGGGACACTCTGGTTTACAAAGAGAATTTCCAATACTTTTTATCACTCTGTCCTTGAAACAGATAGCCACAGAAAATAAAAACAAAAACAAGCAAGCACACCCTGGCCATGGTGCCAGGTGGCTCTGGTCAACATCCACACCTTATAGCTGGGGAGTAAGTCACCAGGTAAAAGTGACTTTCCCAGGGTCCCAGTCATACAGTGTGTCAGCCCAAATCAGGAAGTGCAAAATCAGTTTGATTCTGTACAGTATTTCCCAAGTGCCCACTGTGTGCCGTGCATGTTGCCAAGCACTAGGAAAGCAGACATGTGTGATGTGGCTGCCTCCAACTCTCCATACCCTATACCCACCTGGGTCTGCCTTTCCTGCGCTGGGCAGCACAGGGTAGACCCAGATGGCTCCCACAAGCCATGCCCCACCTGGATTTGTCTATTCTGAAATGAATCCTACTTCTCCCCCAGTCCTTCTGAGAGATACAAGATTGAAATTAGAGCAGATCTTACTGCAAAACTGAGAAGCCCTCAGCTGCCTCCACAATGGATACAAATGTTAAGCCAAGACCAAGCAAAGACATGGTTCAGAACTGTACCTTCAGGATGTGTCTGGCACTGTCAGGGTAGAAGATACTATTTTCTATTAAAAAAAAATATGCAAACTTTGTTCAAAGTGCACTCTTGTAACTGCTTGGAAACTGCAGGGTCCACCTCCTTTAGCATTTCTGCTAAAGGGCAGTGATGGCGAACCTTTTAGAGATAAACACCCAAACTGCAACCCAAAACCCACTTATTTATCACAAAGTGCCAGAACTTCAGTTGAACCTAAATATTGAGGCCTTAGCTTAGAAAAAACAGCTCATGCATTAACATCTTTTGTCTTAAAAGAAAAACAACACAGGCGCCAAAGGTTTGCCACCACTGATACAGGAGTTTCCTCACTCCTGCCTTGGCCTTGGCTGCCTCCACACCAGCTCTGGGCCGATTGTGGCCTCAACTCCTGTGAGATTGAATCCTCTGAAGGCCCTGATAAGGACGTTAAGACAGAAGACATACTCTCTCCCTAAACGTCCCCATGTGATTGGGTTACCTTGATAGCCCAGCCCTGTCCAGCAATCAGGCAAGTAGACCTCTTCCAGGCCTAAGAGCCCACATTTCAGCATACCTAGTGGCTCCATTTATGCTCAAAGCACTCTACAGACCTCGTAGGAAGATGCCATCCTTTGCCATCTTTCCAGATATTTCAGGTATTCTGGTACATGTGTAGACTTCTTCTCTGGCTGTTTAGACCACCCCCAGCCCTGGCCCTGTTTTCTCCAGCCAAGACTGCTGGTCAGGGTGAGATTCCCATGCTTCTAATGGATGTAAGGGGTGAGCATAACAAAGCTTAGGCTTGCCTGAGTGAGAAGGGTGTAAGCCATTCACCTGCCCTTCCAGATCACAAGCCCCACCCAGTGTCTGGAAGGGTATGTTTGTTCCAGGACTAAAAAATGCTTTGTCTCCAGGGCACCGTCAGACACCCTCAGCCAAGTGTTTCAGATATGCTGAGAACTGAAATTGATTGGATGCAGGCCACAGTGGTCTATGCAGGGAAACCATGTGGCTCCTGCACTGGTCTCTGCTGCCACCATCAGGATAGACGGAACCTACTACCAGAAGCCTCTAGCCTGGCTCTGTATTGGTCCTCTCCTACTAGCCAGTGCTGTGAGTTTCTACAGAGCATCAGTTTGGAGACTCTCCTGTGGTGTCACATCCATCCTTGAGCATGCCTAGTACACCATTCCAAGACATGCCTTATTGTGCCCATGATTCTTGGCTGTGGTTGTTGTTCACTGAGCTTTGAATAAACATACATGTACTTATTACTCAACAGGCAGGCCCCTAAACACTTTTTAATTATAAGAAACGCAAACACACTTGTGCCTAACCCCAGTTCTTGTCAATCATTGCCTGTGGGACTTAGAAAAGTCACTTAACTATTGATCCAGTGCTTTCTCATCTGTGAGGTGGGACTATTGTCCACTGTCCATTCAGGTCCTTGAAGAGGCAGGCACTAAAATAGGATTTGGCATGCAAGAGAATCAATGAGGGAAACACCTGTGAAGTGTCCAGGAAAGAACTGGAGTAGGCAGGGTGCTCAGTGCAGGTCTGACACCTATGGGAAGAGGGAGAAGGGCAGAGAACTTGGAGAAAGGGTCCTAAACTGCACTGCAGCTCTGAGGTTCTGCCAGGCCAGTGGAGTCTGTGTCAGAGGAGTCATGTGTCCCATGGGACCAAGCTTACTCTGCTAGCTCTGCCAGTCAGTCACAGCGTGGTGGGGCAGCCTGGGAGCTGTGGCCTCAGCACATGCATGGTAGTGCATCCAGCGGACTGGTATGCAGGCTCCTTTCTGCTGTGCTCCATGCAGTGAGAAGTCTGTTTCCTCAAAGACTTTGCATGTAAGATTTTATCCCAGGGTCTGCCATGGAGACTGTGCTCAGTAACAGGCAATGATGGAGTAGTGATCATTATAGATCTTACTGCTGTTACGATATTTGCAGTACGTGCTCAAACAGGCTACACAGAGTGCAGTTCAGCAGGTGTTTGGAAAGGTTGCACCCTTGGGGGACCTGTAGGGTTTCATCACACAGTGCCTTCTGTCCCCTCAAAACATGCCCCTCCCAGAAATATGACCCCAGTACCCAGAGCTCTGTATTAAAACCAGTTACCCACCCTCCTTCCCATTACACTTCTGCCAACCCATAAACAATTTTCTATTAATATTCCTATTAAGCCAAAAGAGCTTGTGTAACTTTCAGTCCTATTTGAAAAGTTGGAGTAGGAATAACCATTCATCTCCTCTGGAGTCCTGGTGGCTGTGGTCTTTGGAGACAGAGCAATTGAAGAGTTTCCACCAAATGGGAAGGGTAGTGGCTGGCACTGTGGGTTTGCAAACAGCTGTGTAGACTTGGTGCAAATTGTAATAATTAGCTGGGTGATAATCAGTGTTATTAATTTCCACAACCTTTGGTGATTTCATCCTTAAATGCAAGCAAGTACCTTTCCTAGATGCTTATTGTATGGGTTAAATAAGGCTGCAAATGCCTAGGTGCTGGGGATATATTACTGTTTCCATAATTCTGACTTATACTTTTCTCTCTTGTATGAAAGGTCAGACCACTGACATAATGCAATTTCTAAATTATAAGTGGAGCTTTAGCCTTGAGTCCCCCAACAGTCGTGCAGCCCAGTTTTTCTTTCTGTCTGTCTTGTGGAGGATGCTGGAAGAATAAGAGGAGAACTAATATTCATTCAGCACCTGTGGTGTGTCAGGCATTATATTTGTCATTTTGAATCTATAATCTATTCAATTTCTATAGCAACCCATGAAGTCAAATTAATCAGAGCGACAACAACCTTGCCAGGTGTAATCCAAGGCTGAACCGTGACTTGAGCACAGGTCTTTCTGATGCCAAGCCTGGGTGCTTGCTGTAGCCAGGTGGCTCTGAGTAAGTAAATGTGATGGTGCTTGAGAAGCACTGAAAACTCCTGATGAAAATACAGAATGGAGTTACTATTCCCCGCTCAGGTTTCCCTGCACTGGGGTCAGCCCTCCCCGAAGAGCAGGATCCCAGTGTCAGGCATTCCAGACAAGCCCTCCTTCAGAGCCAGGGCTCTGTGGGCTGTAGAGTCATCCTTGGACAAGGGTCAGAGGACATGGGTTCATACCCTCCTCCCATCCTGGTTACGAGTGTGGCCCAGGGCAAGTTCACCCATTAGGTTCCTATTCCCCACTCTGGAGTAGAGTGTAGGATGGGGAAGGGATGATTTGGTTCCGGTCCTACTGTGTGCTAGGGACTATGTAAAGGGTAACTACATGCATGTTGGCATCTAATCTTCCCAGAGGAAGCTGAGACTGAGAGGGGTTAAGTCATTTGCTCAGGTCATTCAAGTAACAGATTATCATCTGGACTCTGATTTTAAATTCTACATCTATATTGAATAGGCAGTCCCTAAGAACACATCTGTCACTTTGATTTTGTCTCTTATGGTTTTGGCATGGGGTCTTGTTTTGTTTTGTGTTTTACTTTTTGAGATAGGGTCTTGCTATATACTTCAGACTGGCCTTGGGTTGGTATAGCCCAGGCTGACCTCAGAATCACAGCTATTCTCCTGCCTCTGCCTCCTGAGTGTGGGGATTACAGGCATGCGCCACCACACCAAGCAATTTTGTTTGTTTGTAATTGCTCAATAGATGAGAGGCACAGAGGCACTTTTCCTTAGAGAAGTGTGCAAACTATACCATTCTGGCTCAGGAAGACTTTTCTTTCCCTGCCAGCTAGGGTTTTGGATCTGTGGCAGCATTTTGATGGGAGGTGCCCTTACCAGCTCTAATCAGAAAGTGGCCCTTTGTCCCAACAGAGGAAATGAAGCTGGAGTTGAGGAAACAGTATTTTGCTCACTTCCCACATTGTCTTCTCAGTATGGCTTGCCTGACCAGCTTGAACTCCCCAGCTATGTCAGCATCCAAGTCCTAAAGCAAGGTGACAGGTAGTGACAAGGAAGAATAGAGATGAGAAAGAGGGGATTTGGGGTCTTGTGTTGGCCCTGCCACTCACACACCTCTGACCTGTGGCAAGCCTCCCAGGCACTTTGAGTGGTAATACCCCCTGCAGAAGGAGGTGGCCTAAATGAGAGGTCTCCAGGCTGAGCGCGGCAACCCCCTCCCTTGCCTCCATTCTTTCCGCAGCTGAACGGATGCCCCACCAGCACTCAGAAGCCTGGGCTCCGGGCTCTCAGACTGCACAGCTGCCAGCTTTGCAGCTACCCCATGCCCCAGCATGCACACAGATCCGGCCAAACACTCAGGCAGCTGTAGATAGCACTGGGCTCTCATAACAGCCGGGCCTCGGCTCTGTTTCCCAGCACAGATACAGCCCTGTCCACACAGCCCCACACCACACCAGGAGTCACCAGCAGTGGTGAACCTGGGCAGGATGTTCTCAGTCCTCACTTACTGGCTTCTCCCTGAGGGGCTTCTGTCACCTGGTGGCATCACCATTCTGTGTGTGGCCTGGGCAGGTCACCTCAGATCTCAGGAGCCATCCTGGACAGTTCTCTGTTCACACCTGGTTCATCAGCAATACTCAGACATGGCCCTCTGTCCTGAGCTGTGAGCGTCGGGGTGAACAAAGGGAGTCACATGTCGCTGCATGCTTAGTCCAGCTGTGGAGAGTCCTGCCCAGGCCACCTGTGCGGGCTGGGCTTTTCAGTCTGAGGCAGAGCCACAGATGCAGAAGAGCAAGTTGGAGCCCAGGTACCTGGGTTGCCCTTAGGCAAGTCATTACCTCTGCTCCTCAGGCTTCCTATCTGTAAAATAGGGACCCTAATGGTCCTGAGCCCCTGCGGTTAAGTGGGGAACTAAATGAATTAATAGTTCGGATGTGCCTGAAGCATAAGTCCTGTTTAACTTTTACAGACACACATATACACATACATGAATGATGGGCCAGAGAGACACTGTTTAATCAGGGCTTTTGCTCAGTGAGCCCACCATCAAGGCCTCTGTGGAAGTCAAGAGCCTTTTTATGAGGCTCACTTTGCCCTGCCCCTCTTCCTGCCTCCTGCTCCAGCCAAGATGACCCCAGAGCACACCCACCTTCTCTGTAGCCAATTCTGGGGATCCTCCTCCCATGAGCAAGGCCTTTTCTGGGTGCAAACGGAAGAAGCAACACTGCAGGGACCATTCCAAGCAAACCCCCTCCCCGAGCCCCCAGGGGACAGCCTCCTATGCTCGCGCCTCATCTCCTACCTTTCCCCACACTCAGCCCCTGAGGGGCACTCCTGCACTGCCTCGTCCCCACCCCAGGCCTGGACACATGCTGTGTTCCAGGAACAATCCCTCATCCTGTACATGGCTGGCGCTTTTCTTCAAATTCCAGGCTCCTTGCTGTGCACTCAGCCCTTCGGGGAAGCCTTCCGTGATGCCTCTAAATGGCCTCTCCCCAGCTCCCCTCATTGTCTCTCATGTTGCCCTGTTCAGTTTTCATCAAATGGTTATCAGAATTTGCCCTCTCTATTTTGTTATATATTGTCTAGCCCCGCCACACCCATCCGTGCATGCACTAGAATGGAAGTTTATGGAAAAGCGGGGCTTGGCCTTTTTCCTGTCCCTTTCTCCCCAACACTTAAGAGTGCCTGGCACAAAGCAAGCACCACCGTGGAGGGATATTAGTTGAAGGAACAAATGATGGGCAGGGTAAAGCGGCTGCCTTAGTGTCACCCACATTGTCTCAGCTGGTCACTCTCTGCCCTCCTCTGACACAGCCTCTCCTCTCCACAGCCGTCTTGCTGACTGTGTGCTGCATGAGGAGGAAGAAGAAGACAGCCAACCCCGAGAACAACCTGAGCTACTGGAACAACGCCATCACCATGGACTACTTCAACAGGCACGCTGTGGAGCTCCCGCGGGAGATCCAGTCCCTGGAGACCTCCGAGGTGATGAGCCCCAGCCCTCAGTCCCTGTGGAAGTGCTGGCCCCACTGCACAAGAAAACACAGGCCCCAAGGAGAGCCACAGTACATCCACTCATCTCTGAGGCCTGCTCCTCAGTGATCCATGGGCCAGCAGCCGCCATGACAGCCAGAGGTTGCAGGCCCTGCCCTAGCCCACTGAATCGTGGTCTGCATTTAGGCGGTGAGGTGGAGGGCAGTTACTGGGGATTGAAACTAAGTAAGGCCTTCACATTGAGCTGTGTGCCCAGTCCTTTTTATTTTTTATTTTGAGGCAGGGTCACACTAGATCACTAAATTGCCAGGCTGGGCTCCAATTTGAGATCCTCCTGCCTCAGCCTCCCAAAATGCTGGGATTACAGGCAATCACCACCACACCGTTTTCACAGTTGACATTCTGACAAGAGGTGCTTTCTGCATGCTAAAGTTTGGGTAGCACTCTTTTTGGGATTTATGGTTTCTGGGTATAAGTAAATCCTTCTCGCTGGGGGCCTGTTTTGTGGCACACACTGTTGGAGACTGTAACTGAGAGCTTGCTCAGGTGACTCATTCAGCTGTGCCCGGGGGATGGACCCCAGGATCACTCAGAAAACAAATGAGAGGCAATGGAGAACAATAACAGGCACAGAGCTGGAAACCGGGGTGGAAGCCTTCCCAGGAAAGGTGCTGGGCAGATAAAGGCATCCGCAGGCACGACGTTGAAGTAGCCTGAACAGGGGCAGCGTGTGACACTGGAGCCACAAAGGAGCATTTGCCTGTGACAGCTGGCTGGCCGGCCAGGTGCGAGTGGGGCTGTGGAGCCAGGCCTGACTACTAGCCGTGCTCTTCCATTCTCTCCTGGAGAGGGGCTGCAGGACAGGACAGAGCCAGGGAGAAGGGTTCAGGGCAGATTGGACACAGCCTTGTGTGGGATGTCAGGGAGTCTGGACTGCAGCTTGGGGCCGCGAAGGGTCAGGTGAAATTTCTGCACTTTAGGCGACATAGTTTTAGGGTTATGCTGCCCAGCCTGTCAAGCTGCTCCGTATCGATCAGCGAATAGATAAGGAAGGAAAGGTGGGTGGACAGAAAGACAAACCCAAACGAGGCAGTTCAACTTGGATGCAGTTGAGATGACCCAGGAGCAAGATGTAGGCGAGGCAGGCAAGCCGAGAAGAGTCTAGGCAGAAGAGCGCTAGTACAGACAGGAGCGTGGTCTCATCGCTCCTGGCTCAGAGCCCCTCTGCAGCTTCCTACTGCCCTGAAGTTAAAGTTCAGAAGTTATACTCACACAGAGTTTATGAGGTAGACTGGGCCGCCTCCCAACATTCCAGCCTTGCATCCTACCCCTCTCTCCATTTATTTGCTAAACTTCAGCCACCTTGGGTTTATTTTTGTTCCTTCAGGGCACCAAGTGACATCACCCCCACTCCAGGTCTGTCTCCTGCAGTGTCACCCCTCCCCTGCCTGGCTGGGCGTGGCCCTCCCGTCATCTGGCCTCCGCTCCTTCTGCTGCCTCATCACAGTGCTCACGCGGGTTATGATTCCGTGGTTGCCAGTCTGATACTAATCCAGCATGGCTTCCTCCACAGCAGAGCAATCAGGCACTTCTGAAGTCTCTTTCTCCCGGTAGCCCCTTCTCGGCTTCAGTTACTGAGTCCTTGTTGTACACCAACCTCCGATCACTGGAATGGCCAGGCTCAGTCCCACCACGACTCCTCTTCCCTTTTCACTTACGTCCACGGTTTAAATGCCATCTGCACTGTTGCCCTTGAATTTCTCTCTGGAGCCTTGATTTCTCCCTTGAACTCCACACTCATCTGCCCAGCAGGAGCCTAACAGAGGTCTCCAGGGGGCTGGGGATTTAGCTCAGTGGTTCTGCCACCCACCTCAAAAATTCAAGGACCTGAGTTTAACCCCTGGTACCAAAAAAAAAAAAAAAAAAAAAAAAAAAAAAAGCACGTCACAGAAGTCTCCAACTCAGCAGGCCCAAGAATGGGTTCTTGACGCCACCCTGCCTGCTGCCCTCAGGCATAAAGCTCACCTGCTGGCTTTGTCAGCAGAGGCCATTGGTTTTTCTGAAGACTGCTTTGTCTCCGTCCAGGGCCAGCCTCCTCTCTCACATCACCACTGCCCAGCTAAGCTCTGCACTCAGAGCACCCCGTTACCCTCTTGTCTCTTCCGTCTGCAAGGACCCACAGCTGCACAGTAGCCAGACTGCGTGTCAGCCATGGTTCTAAATGCATGTAAGACTCGGAATCCTCTCTCCGCACACCCTTCTTGGGCCTGCCGAGTGGGAGACCTCTGTGACGTGCTTTTTTTTTTTTTGATGTTCAGACGTCACGTCCTGGGGGAGCCCTTCTTTGACTTCCAGAACTGATTCACAAAGTGGCAAGAAAGATGGGATACGCGTGTTTGAATTGAAGGGCAACTATTTTGAGGGGATTGATAACAGTGGTATTTTTACAGTAATAAACTTTTTAAACTTTAAGCCCTCACTGTAATATTTGATCACACCCCACATAAGCTGCCTGAGGGCAGGAGCCTCGTTTTTTGCATTCCCTGTTCCCTTTCCAGCAACTAGAACAGTGCCTTACACATGGCAAATACTTGGCAAGTGTATCAAAAAAAATGAACCACAAATTTTATTCACCACAATGAGCCTAAGACACAATGGATGCTTAATTTAAAAAAAAACTTGAACCAAAGGACACAGAGGGGATGAGGTAGCATTAACCTCGAGTACAGACAGCACAGATGTTATGGCACAGTAAGTGAAAACCAACACAAAGGAAGACTGGCCCTGCGTTAGCACCTCTCATACTCTTTGCAAATTGTAAATGAAAGCCAAAGCCAAGGAGCAGTGCTGGGAGTCACACTGTGAAAGGCCTTGCTTACAGAGCACCACAGTCAACCACAGTTCCCCGCCATCCTGCACAGCCAAGGTCTGGTGTAAAGGGCTCCTGGCCAGGCATGGGCTCCAGAGCGGAAGGATGAGGACACCACAGGACCCACAACAAACAGCTTGGCTTGGCTCAGAATAGAGTTGAGCACTGTTTGCCTCCCAATGGTCTACTCCTCTCTATTTAAAAAAACATCACACTCTGTTCCAACTCTGAGTTCACGCTGTGTTCAGGCGAAGACAAACAGCAGACTGGTGACACCTGCACCGCTGACCTTCCACAGGGTCACCACAGGACGGGGGCAGATTCCACTGTGTTCCACATCCCGGGACATGCGCCCATTGCCTTTGACCACCAGCTTCAGAGGCTGCCAAGTGCTTTGCCTCAGGGAGTTCCTCTGGTTCCCTGCACCCTTCTGTGTTGAAACAGCAGCACAGACAAGATGGCACTGCCCAGGGGCTGCTGGGGATTTTTCTCTCTTGTTTTCTCCTCTTCCTCCTTTCTCTCCTTTCTTGCCTTCTTCATTTTCTAAATATCTCTTTCATGCTGTGAAATGTATCATACATTTCACTTGGTTCACATTTGCTTCACGAGAACTGTAAACAAAGCCAAGCTGAGCCTCCAGAATTACCCTCACAGCTCAGCCCAATGCACAGTAGAGAAAAAGGGATTTCTGTCCTTCTCTGATGGGCTCCCCTATTTCTCCCTGTTAGAAGGCTTGCCCCAGGTCCACACTTTCATGAGTGCTCAGTTCAGGACAGCCTTTGAAGGAAACTCCCGTCTCCTGAAAAGACATTTTATCAATGGTGGAATATCTTCTTTTCTCTCCTTTGAGGCATAAAGCAATAAGTCCTTCTCAAAAATTAGCTTCTGCCTATGTTTTGATTAAAAATAAACTTCAGAGCATTACAGATTCTTAAAATGAAGGCATTTCTGAGCAAATACAGCATAATCCAGCATAGTAGGCCTGTTCTTGATTTGAGTTCACTTGTCTCGAAATGGCCTGGAGATTCTGAAACCTCAGTTGCTTAGTGTTGAAATAAGCTACCTTTTCTTTAACCTACCTTCCTTCCTATTTCCCTCCCTTGACTTTTCCTTTTTTTTTTTTTTTTTTTTTTTTTTTTTTTTTTC